AGTTCCCCCAGGACCCCCTCATCCTCTATCCACGCCGGCAGTCTTTCCTTTATAATCTGCATCGCCAGCCTGTAGACCACTGATGTCACTGTTATAGGACGGTAGTTGTTTATGTCAGCTTTGTCCCCCTTTCCTTTATAGATCATGCTCGTCCTGCTAAGTTTCCATCCATCGGGAACTTCACCATCGATTATTATTGTACTCACTGCCTCTCTCAAAGCCTGCTTAGACTTCGGACCTAATGTTTTTATCAGCCTAATTGGAATGCCATCTGGGCCTGTTGATGTACTACTAGGAACCCTTTTCTCAGCCCTTTCCCACTCTTGTTGTGAGAATGGAGCCATTGCACCACTTGATTCGTCTTCGTCTATTGTGGTGCATAAAGAACTTCTTTGTTGAAATTTTTCTGTCACCCTTGTTCTTATATATTCAATAGCTTCGTCCCCTTCTAGCCTAGCACCTTGGGCTGTAGTTATAAAGTTCTGCTCTAGGCTCGTCTCATTTCTTAGGGAGTTTAGATGGTTCCAAAACACGCCGGTGTTCGGCGCGCCCTCTCTGGCGCAACAAGTGTACTCCCTTCTTCAACGACGAATCGGTTTTAGGCTTTCGTGTCCGGGTCGCATCGTTATTCGTAGTAAGATTTGCCAAAGCCAGTGGGTTAATCCCGCCATGTCTATGTGCCACTCCTTCAACCATAATGAGGTATTGCGAGTGTGAACTAACGGGACACAAGAGGGAAGACGAACGAGCGCTCATTTGTCTCCTCTCTTGTGTCCCGTTAGTTTGCGCTCCCAATATTTCATTGTGAATATAAACCAACTAGCCCACCTATCAAATTTTTTTCCAGCAACCACTTTCACCTATTCTCTACTTTCACAGTTGACCACTCTCAGTCATCCGTCTCGTCCTGACCGCCAACGCATCCTAGGAATTCTGTAATCCTGGCTGATGGCTAGGGGGATGAACACGGGCAGATGTCAAAGCCTACTTCCAATCAGTTTCAACTGGTGCAAATAAATAGTATCTATCTATCTATCTGTATATCTGTATATCTATCTATCTATCTATCTGTATATCTGTATATCTATCTGTATATCTGTATATCTATCTATCTATCTATCTGTATATCTATCTATCTATCTGTATATCCATCTGTATATCTGTATATCTATCTATCTATCTATCTGTATATCCATCTATCTATCTCTATATCCATCTATCTATCTGTATATCCATCTATCTGTCTGTCTATCCATCTATCTATCTGTATATCCATCTATCTGTCTGTCTATCCATCTATCTATCTATCTATCTATCTGTCTGTCTGTCTGTCTATCTATCTATCTATCTATCTATCTATCTATCTATCTATCTATCTATCTATCTATCTATTCTGTCTGTCTGTCTGTCTGTCTGTCTGTCTGTCTGTCTATCTATCTATCTATCTGTCTATCTATCTATCTATCTATCTGTCTGTCTGTCTGTCTGTCTGTCTGTCTGTGTCTGTCTGTCTGTCTGTCTGTCTGTCTGTCTGTCTGTCTGTCTGTCTGTCTGTCTGTCTGTCTGTCTGTCTGTCTGTCTGTCTGTCTGCAAGCGCTGCTGCAATTTTTGTGACCGCCGGGCCTTTTTGGACGAACTTAGCTGTAACACCATTTCTGTCGTTTTTAGAAGTGGAACAGCTTGTGGCCGAATTCAATTAAGGAAGTTTAAAAATTGCTGAAGTGCAAGCTGCTGCGATTCTTTGCCAGCAATATTGAGGCCAGATTTTTCTCTCCAACAATCTCTGAAACATGCTCTTTTCTGCAATAGCACATTTACAGATCAAGTAGCTTTTATCTTTCAGCCTGAGCACTACTTTAATTTCTTTCACGATGGAATAGCAGATAGAGACGAGTATCGGCGACTTGGCCTTTAACAAAATTTGTCTTCAATTGAAGGCTTACTAACAAAAATTAGTAATACGATGACGCACTTTGACCACTATCTGACCTGAAAAAGTGGTGGGTCGTGCTAACTCTTTAGGCATGGGAAGAAAACGCTCTTTCTCAATCGACGATCGCCAACAGCACATACAGCCCCTAATAAGATGGAAGCCGCAGCTTCCATCTTTCAGTGGGTACAGTTTCACTTCTGGGCTATAACTTTCTCTCCAGAATTTTTTTTTATTAAAAAAACATTCTTGGTTGGTCCATTGCGGTATGTGTGACCGCCCTTACTGGGTGTGCTCCCAGTAAGGGTGGTCACACGTGCAGAACGGCCATAACGCGCTCACGCGCGCTGGGTAAGACGCTCTAGCCTCTTTCCTAACACTCTCATAGCAATCATGTGATGACGTCGGGGAATGACGTTCTTGACGTTGTCGTTTTCCATTCTCGCCAACGCGGAGTCTTGCTCGCCACACTCCACCGCCACGACCTGGCCGCGGCTACACAGAGGGACCTTCTTCCTGCACGGCACCACACCTACGTCTTCAAGGCGGTTCTTTGCTTCCTTGAAGACACTGGACTAGACAACCGGCTATAGAAGCCGCCCGACACGTCATTGGTCGTGGATGCCATTTTTCTTCTTCTCTCTTCTTCCACATCTTTAGTGCCCTCTTCCCCCACCCCCTACAGGCACTGAACCGTGCTCCCATTTAGGGCTGCAGAAGTTGCGTCTTTTCTTTTCCTGAACCTCTCCCTCTCCCTTCTCATTCTCGCACGCGGGAGAAATTAACGCGCGTACATTGAGCGATAAATGGCGTCTGCGTTGATGAGAAACGCCGATTGGGCGCAGCCATCACAGCGGTACGAAACACGCTATACCAGACTACTTCGCGTAAAAGTACATGGCAGGATGGTCATCCCCGTAGTTTTGCTTCCATCGTTGTCCACGATTGTAGTAGTGCACGGCGCTTGACATGACGAGAATCAAGAGCGCTATTGGACGAAAGCGATGGGTATGGGAGGAGCTAACCTTTTTTATGGTGCAGCCTAATATAGTGCAGCCGAAACTGGGGATTTAGTTTCACCCATAGAAAGAGATGAAGAGCGACGCAAAAAAAAAGTTATAGCAGAAATTGAATTTTATTCCGCTGAAACAATCAAAGATCTCGGACTACGTAGCAGCTCACGAACGTCACACACTTTCATAACTGAATCGGTGATGCGGTGTTTGCACATCTCTGCCATTCTGTGGAACTAAATAGAGTTCCACATCATCGATTTCAAGCCTGTAACAAGACAGGTGCATGAAAGCCCTAGTAGAAAGCTGTAGTCAACTCACTTAAACGCGAAAGTAGGACCATACATTCGTCATACCACTCAGGAAAGGTTGTCACGCGCACTCGCTTAAGTAGCTGTAGCCCTATTTGTTACCGTAGCAATACTGCACAGTCTGAATCAATGTCTAGAGCGCCAGTGTGCCACATCAGACGTCAGGTTTTGTGAAGACCCGCAGATACCACCGATCATATTCATGAACCACATATTCATGTATTCTTGGGGTGGAGGTATTGTGCAAATACTGCACACAGGCTGGCCAATCTTCGTGTGGCTCGAGAGAGTGCATTACCGGGTTTGGTCACCAGTATCCACAAATCTTCAGGAGAGAAGAATGTAGCGGGTGCCTCTAACTGGTATTTAACTGCGGAGGTAAAACTTGGAGGCTGACGAGAAGGATTTTATACTTAAAATGAGGACCCTTCATGGAACCGTGGAAGAGTAAATTATACGTTTAACCTTAAAAAACAAGAAGAGATCGATTGATTGATATGTGGGGTTTAACGTCCCAGAATTACCATACGATTATAAGAGACGCCATAGTGGAGGGCTCCAGAAATTTCGACCACCTGGGATTATTTAACGTGCACCAGAATCTTAGCACACGGGCCTACAGCATTGCCGCCTCCACCGGAAATGCAGCCGCCACAGCCGGGATTCTATGCCGCGACCTGCGGGTCAGCAGCTGAGTGCCTTATACGCTAGACCACAACGGCGGGGCAGAAACAAAAACAGAGCATCGTTGGTCAGGGCATAGTGTTAAAGACATTTGAGTCGAAATCAAGAATAAATGGTCAGCACGTGCGATCTGAAGGCAAGAAACCACTGGTAATTAAGAGTAACAGCATGGATTCGAACAGGAGATACGTGCGCAAGTAGGAGGCAGAAAGATGCGTGGACGGATGAGATTAGGAAGTGTGTGGCTAGAATGTGGTCGTGGCCATTACATGGGGGTTTACTGACGAAACATGGGAGAGTCATCGCCTTGTAGTGGACATAGACAGGTGTTGATGATGCAGACTACGAAGTGGCAATGATGTCAAGCATAGTCATACCATGTGCTGGAACATTGAGCTATATTTCAAGCAAGAATGCTCGCAGCGGCAGATGGTGCGACAGTCTATAATCACGTGCTGCACCGCTCTAGACAAATGTGAATCAGACTGCACAATTTCACAAGGTAAAGGCATACTTCAGCTTACACGCAGTCAACTCTGTTGCATGTTCACCCTTTTCCAGTGCAACGCGCCTATTTCTAACTTTTACTGTTAATAATGAGCACGCGAATGTTCATAGGTTTGCATGCATAGTAACGTTCGTGTTTTCGTTGTGCAACTACATCTTTCTGTGGTGAGCGTATATATTGTCGTTTGTTATTGCGTTTTCATATTTTGTCAGACAGGTACTTGAAGCCGGGTCCCTCGCTTTACGCCTCGTCTCTACAACAAAGAGACGCGTATGCAAAAAAAACATGCGCTTTCTTTCACGTTAACTAGGGTAATTGTTATCTATGAAACCTTCTGTTACGAAAATGGCAAGCAGGTTTTTCCGTCATGCACCTCTGCCCACAATATGTCTGCTGTGAAAGTCGCTTAACTGGTGGTATACTGAGACAGCTGCGGTTTGATGGATGATTCTTTCATCGCACAGTAAATGCGACGTGAGTGATATCTCTAGAAAGTAGCGTACAGTGTACAGTGTTCTATGTAGTGGTACGTTCAGTACGTCCAAGAACGTTACAGAGCGATAACCCAAGACCATGTACAACAAGTGGTCCTTATTTATAATCTTGTTCAGCGTACGGTAACTGTCATCTCGTGGACTGCCATGTTGCGGCAAACAGGGTACAGCGGAATAGTCAACTCGTCACTTCGCTCAGAGCTTCCATCGTTGATATACGTTTAAAACTGTTAACTGGGTACTAGATGGGCGCCTCTGTAGAGTCCTGGATGGTCGCTTGCCGCAGCAGCTTTCTTCTTCTAACTCTCTCCGCGTGTTCCTCCTTGGCTTTCAATTTCCGAACCATATCCTCGAGTCGTTTATCTCTGGAAAGATAAATCACCAATGAAGTGTTACGTAAATAGAAGCAGACACATTAAGTGCAATGTTTCCCATAAAAAATGCTCCCACCTCCCCGAAGATAATTGTGAGGAAATTCGAATGCCTTTCTTGCGCCGAGAGAGCGTACCGGTGCCGTCCGACATTCGCCTTCACAGACTTCTTCTGAACGCCTTGAGAGGCGCCCAGCCAGCGAACAACGGTCGAGAGTGAGGAGCGATCCGGACGGGAAGGTGGAGCGCCTGCGTTCTCGGCTCAGCGTTGGCGTTTCACAGCGGTGTTTCGAGCATACATTTCCGCGTGTTCTTGAGAGGCGGCCAGCCAGCGAACGGTCGAGAGTGAGGCGCAAGCGGACGGGAGAGTGGGGCGCAGGGAAGAGAGAGCAAACGGTGAAAGAAGGTGAGGGAAGCACTGCATCTACCCTCTCCTACACTCTTTCGCACCACCCGATTTGGTTGCTAGGGGCGAAGATAAGCGCACGCGCCCGCACGTGCAATTGATATGGGAGAGGGAGTGAAGCCGAAATAACACCTGCCGACGCGCGGACAACGCCAGATGCCTGATATAGCCTGACTAAGAAATGCATCCGCATTGAAAAGAAAGGTGCAAGCAATGTTATTAGCTTCCACTTTCACATTTGAAAAAAAAAACCAGGCCTGCGCAGAACGCACTGCACGTTCTCAGCGAAAGCTACAAGAGCGGCCTTTTAGAGCCTCTTTGGGTAACTGCAACAACCACGGTGCTGGGAACCAAATACGCCATAACTAATCATTTTTTGTGTTGTAGGTCAGCATTCCCTATGCTATCCTTCGTCATTCTTTGGAGAAGCGTGGTATATGCTACAAACGTGTTAGAAATTTTGTGCAATTTTTTATGCAGTGGCTGACGACTATGAACGTTTATGGCGAAAGTAGGTGTGCACCACAGTTAATAGTTGAGAAAGAACAAGTTTTCTGGTGGGTTAGAGGATCGGACGACCAACTCGTTACGCAATTCGTGTTGTGTGACGCCTGGCTATTCCATTGATGTTCTTAAACCTTTTATTACTCATATTAACGCGATTCCTTTCCCAACATCAAGCCTGCCTAAGGACAGTTTAGAGACGAGTCTCAAGCTCTGGAGGCTCAGTGGTAGAATACTAAGCTGGCGCGCAGCGCACCTGGGTTCGAGCCCCACTGTGTTCTTGGTGGTTTTTCTTTATTAATTTTTTTGTTCTTACTTCGTGCAATAATGGTTACGGACGCTGGCGGCGGACAACTACGGCACCGCGCGTGACTCATGTTGGGATCTCATCTGTAAAACGCCACTTCCAGGAACTGTATGTTAAAAGGGTCGAGAACCGTCTTCCAAGGTGATCATCGCATGACCTCACTATATGAGCTAGTTGCCTCACGAATCGATGGCCGGGAAAAAAACTTCGAATTTTCGAAAACGCCAAGAACGAGCATAGTTACCAGGATTTATCACGTGCTTACAGCGCTTCCCGTCTTTTATGCTCCCAACGAGCGAGCGGTAGGTTACAGCGAGATTTGGGGACAGGAACGGAAAAAGTACAACATTCGTTTCCTATTCACCGCCGCGAATAGGAAACGGAGCGAGAAGCGTGCGCCCTCTCGCGTGCTCCCCGCTCCGGGGGACGTGCACGGTCGCGATTAGTTTTCTGTGGTCACGTGGTCATTTCATGCTATAAGTGGTCTTGCTCACTTACCTGACTTGTTTCTATTGACCGCCGACGCATCGTGCTTCGGAGGGGGGTTCTTTTCCTAGCTTTAGAAAAGCGGACAGACATTTTACGCAATCGTTCTAACGCGTGATCGTGAACAAGCCTAACTGAAGATCGAAGAGTGCTCATGAGTGTTCCACTTTTGAATTCAGCAGCCGTCAAGAATCGGGTCAAACCCGCTTTGCAACTGCGAGTGGAGAAAAGGACGCCAAGCCGGGCGACAAAAGCGCTTAAAATTCGCAAAATGCGCGTTATTCCTTGCCAAATTCACACCGCGCCTCCGCATATTCGACCACGCGGGACCAATTATGGCAGTGGGCTGCAAGGTCAGGGTAATTTTTCCGTTCCAGTCATTGAGTTTCCTAATAATACTCCAGAGGGAACTCTGACGCTAGTGTCACTGGGAGTAGCTACGAACGGTTCTTCAGACAGCACGAGTTTTATGGATAGGACACGGATTTGTCTAAACCTAGTTCTGTCGGCTCTCGTCGGCTGTTTCATTCTTGCATTCCTCTACCACAAGACGAAGCTCTGCAAATGTTGAGCACTCTCCGTTCACCATCTTAACCAATGTAGACTCACCAATTCAGATCAGCTGGCGAAGTTGACAACTATCCAATCTTTTATCCAGAAGAAGCGCCAAAAATACAACAATAAAGAAAGTCACAAGCGGGCTCGAAGCCACAAGCACGAAAATTAGGCAAATCCATGCACTACCCATAATTCCTGTGGTAGGTTTACGATCGCAGCGCCAGAGTTCCTTCTGTTGTATACTGTAGAAAACTATGGTTCCAGTGACTACTTTGGAAGGGACGGCACGGGGAAAGAAGGTAAGTCAGCGTGCGTCATCGCATACCTTCAGCGCGCGTGACGAAGTATGATCGCTGTCTCCCGTTACAATTCGTGCGTACATGTACAGCTAGTATTAGCAGATTATAGAGAGCGGCGGCGTCACGGGGTGGCAAGAAGCGCATTTGACACAAACGACACTCTTCAGTTATGTGGGCTATCAATAGCGCGATTTTTCAATGTTTAACGTCAATCACCACAAAGAGTTTCTCGAAGTTAACTACAGGGAACGACCATCATTTAGGGATCATTGGAATCAAGGGTAGTGCACGAATTTGCCTAGTCTTTGTACTTGCCGGTTCCGGAGGCCTACGTGGCTTTGTTTGTTGCTGTGCTTTGGGTTCGTTTTGACTGAAATAATGGAAGGTTATACACTTCGTGAGCAGATTGGAAATGGTGAACCTAAAAGGGCTTGAGTATATATAGTGAAGTGCAACTGCTGAATATTTGCTGCTTGTCGTTTCGTCACAAGGCGGCTCCAAGCCACGCCAAGCCAAACGGAACGTAAAGTAAGAAGATTAGGCAAATTTGTGTATTTTACCATCATTCCCATGCTTGCTGAGGCACTGCGAGGTACAGCTCCCGTAAGCACAAGCGCCATAGTTCTCTCTAGTCTACTAACAGGAAACTATGGGGCAGCTCGCACCGGCAGCTCCAAAAAGAGCGATCGCCGATCTGTCTATGAAAAAATGGCGCTTGAAAAAGAAATGGCAACTTCGAGCTCCACTTGTATCCTCTCCGGTGGCGTGGAAGTGCGAGATTTGGCTGAGCTGTTCATATTAGCGCCTGCTTAACGCAGGATGTGTCTTCACAGCAAGCCCGAAGGGTTCTTCATGATCTCATGAACAACGACGCTGCTGTGACGGGGTAACAGCTGCCATACACGTTCGGTGGCCTATCCGTATGACGTCAGAACATTTTTAGGCTGGGCGTGTCCACCTCCTGTGTGCATGTGACATACCGTTATGCCACCACCCGCACATGATATGCGTTAGAGTGTGGTTGTTAGAGTGTGGTTAGAGTGTGTGTGTGGCTAAAGTGTGGTTGTTAGAGTGACTGCCCCCTCCCCTCTATTCATTTCCATAAACGAAGATGTCAAAATAGATTGCAGGAGCGTCGACCTGGCCGTTTGAGGGCAACACAAACTCGATCTTCGATATTTCACAAATTAAGTGTCAGTGTCAAGCAAGGCGACTGCAAATCCAATCTTAAGACAGTAGCACGCGCACTGCAAGTCAGAAAAAATTATGTTATGAGTGAAAATGGTCATTCGATAGTTACCTGCTTTCTATCTTGGAAGCCATTTTTACAACGTGCGTAATGTTCGCTTCTTCAACCGGTTTCCTCGAAGGGCATGCTTCTTCCAAAAATGCCTTCGCCTTCCGGACTTTTTCTTCGACTTGTTTCTGAAATAAAAATGAACAAAGAACAGAAATAATCATAAAACTTCCCATGACACTTACTCTGGTATTCGAGCAGCCTAAGTGTAGCCAAGCCCGTGCGATCTGTATTCTGAAGCATTGCCGCAAGGAGTTTCTGATTACATGCACCTACGAGCTTCTCATAAGGGAAACCATCATGAAACAAGTTACTAACGCATTTTTCGGGAAGAAGTCTTCTTACTCTAGTAAACATGCGTCCAGGTTGGAACTGTCTCCAGATGATTACTTTCTCCTCCACAAAAAAAATTGTACTGGTTACTGGTCTCCCATAAACGTTTTCAGCTTATCAAGCATTTATCCTAAGTACTCATTTCTCCCAAGGTTTCTTATATTATGAAAAATTCCTTCAGGTTACAGATTTTTCCCGACGATTCTTAGCCAATGAAAATTTCATCCTTCTTACTGATCTTTTACAAAGTTTCATAGCTTATGAAATATTCAACCAGTTTACGGATTCTCTATGATGAAGCTTTCTTGCCAAGTATAAGAAACTTTCTTCTGAGAAATCTACACATCTCCTTTTTTCAACCTTATGCTATAAACGGCCGGAAAATATTTTTGATTTACTTTCACGATCTTTAATCGGACAGTTTTCCACCTGGCATCCTCACGCAGAAGTGATTTTTCTTAGCTCAATCCTAAGCGCGTACATCATGAATAAATAATTTAAGAGAATAATGAACTGCCTTTTTGATTACTATGATATCCTAAGAAATCTACATAACTCTGGAAGGGAATCAATCATCCTTCATATACTGATTGAATACGCGCCACGCATGGAATTTTCGGTGACGCCAACAGATGGCACAACGCGTCTGAAGTGAAGCGGCAGAGATGAGCCCGAGTGTGGCGTACAATTCAAAGCATAACTTGTTTCTCTGCAGACATGGATAGACTGCTTTAAAATGCTCGTCGCATTAATTTCGAATGTAATCCAGCGGCGTTTAACCGAGATCGCGTTGCCTGTTCACTTTCTTCGCTACGAGAGCCGCATGCTAACGCTCGGCTAGATTACAGGCGGTTTAACAATACCTTTTAACGAGCGATCAATGCATTTCATGCTTAACGAGCGATCAATGCTTTCGATTTACTTGATCCATTGTGCAAAGCCGCTGTCATCACCGAAATGGCAGCAAAAGGTGGACAAAAAGCATCACCTTTCATCTGACCCCTAGGAAAGAGGCGATAAAGAGAATCGGAAGCATTACGTTATTGCCATAACTGCATAATGCGCAGTTGACAGCACTAATCACGGGGTTGCCACATTTTTCTGGTTTCTTAGCTGTATTTTTTTTTCAAAAGGGAAATGGCAATTTCATGAAAAATGAATACATACAGAGCACAGAGAAATCTTCCCCGCTTACACTCAAAGAACTCTGATTCTCCTTTCATGCATGGGGGTATCATACATGTGGATCTCACTTTAGAGGGTTGATTTGAGTCATTTTAGTAGAGTCGTGGAACAACAAAATTTCTAGAAAAAAGTCAATGCTCGATTCTCCCGAAGAAAGTCAACGTGCCTCTCCAAAAGGAAGTGAAAGACGTGTGACTCACGTGTACAGATGTGCGCACAGGGAAAGGGGGGGGGTGCAAAGCCAGTCTTATACATATGCATACAGGCGCAGTCAGCCCCCGTACATTGGCATGATGGGGAGGGAGGAAGGGGGCACTGCGACCAACCTTCATTCTCCCCTGAAGGGAGACCCTGAGCACGCTTATGCTCACATCTATGAAAGAAAAGTCAAAGGAGAGTTTTTCTTTTTTTTAGCGTGCACGGCGAGCCAACACCACATACAAAAGTTTACATCAGGGTCGCAACAGGTCACATTGACGAATGCCTGCGTACGTTTTTGAGCTCTAGCCGGCGGAGATGGCGCTACATACGTAACAGCTGACCATGCTTCCTCCACAGCCGCTCACCCTGCCTCTCGCTTTGAGGGAAATGCACTGGACGTCAAGTGCCACACTTGGCTATATTTTATTCTCACGCGTTTCTAGAGCATAATAATTTTAAAGATGTCCCCATCATTTTTCGGTAGTTGCACAGCCGACAAGTGGCACTCTTATCTTCCATGTACTACTGCAGTAGTAGTAGTAGTAATTGTAATAATAATGGCTGTGAGTTAACGTCTCAAAACTAAGATATGAATGTGCGAGACGCCGTATTGCTTCCGAAATTTATACCATCCGGTGCTCTTTAGCATGTGCCTAAATCTAACTAAGCACACGGGCCTGAAGCATTCTTGCCTACATCAAAATTTTGGCCGACGCGGCCGGGACACGATACCGTGACCTGCGGGTCCAGTCGAGCACCAAGTTAAGCATTTTCACCTCTATACTTATGAATATTCCTAAACATTCCTACACAGCACACTAATGGTCCGGTACCAGTGGCTCTCGTTCCCAGTGAAAGTTATATTAGATACCTACTATATAGGAGCACGCCTTTACCTTAGATAAGAGTCAATCAACAGTCAGAATAATAAATGTGAATTAATTGAAAGAGTTCACTGAAACAAAAAAACTTTTTTTGAGGAACTAGGAGCACTGCGAAACCTGGCGGGGCAGATCTCAACCACGCACTTCTTTCTGCGTGGCCTCCGAGATCGGTTTCGCTAGTGTGATGAAACGCAAAGTTTACCCATTGTTAAGCTATTGTTAACCAAGTTTACACAGTTCTCATTAAAGTTAATCGTAAGGATACCCAGAGCGTACGAACCGCAAGTTGTGAATTCCCGCGCCAGACACCTCAGTCAAGGATTGCTGTCACTTCCAATTTGTTGGTGAAACAATTTTACACTGTATTCTTTTTTTTTCTTTTTTTTTGGCACCCACCTTTCGCCGGTCTTCCGCTTTTTCGAGCTTGTCGAGAATACTTTCTTTCGTCACTCGTGAGTGTTCCTTGTTTTTCCTTTTCTTCTTCTGAAGCAACGGAGGCAGTTTCCGAGTGGCGCCTTTTGTCGAAGGCTTCTCTTCGGTTTCTGCAGACACCAGTTCGAACCTGTCGGAAAAAAAAAAACATCTTATGAATTGTCCTGCTCCCGAAGAACCAAGTACTACGAGTGGATTAGGTTGTTTCTGTATCTGAATAAACAGTTCACACTTGGTTCTATGCAACGCGACTGATGTGAGGGTTAAAAAAAAGAAAACATAGACGCCCACAACTTTGGCTTCGCCTCGGTCACGCTTCTCGTAACTTGGTGTGAACTCACGCAAGCCAATGCCCTAAAGTGGCATTCGACAGACGAGTGCTATTGAATCTTTGCACCAAAGCTGAATAAATAAAAAATCAAGCGGTCCCCTGAGCATTCGACTAAGACCACTCGAAGGCAAAATATTAATATTATGTGGAGCTTTGATCCCCAAACCCACAGTATGATTATGAGAGACGCCGTAATGGACGGCACCGGACATTGTGATCATCAGGTGTTGTTTAAAGGCGTACCGACACATAATTTTCAAAGTGAAGTAACTTGTAGGTAGATATCTGTGGACACATACGCATCATCGACGAAACATCAGCAAGTAATTAATTTTAAAGCGTGTGTCGTGGCACCACACGCAAAATGGGCCAGAGGTTTCCATGTAAACAACTAACCGCCACCTGCGTCAAGGGGGGTCATGCCTATTTACACCGCGTCAAAGAGGACTACAGCTGCGCCCAGAAAGCCACCGTTGAAAAGAGTTGCAAACGTAGTGCTCACGTGCACGCGGTTTAGCGCGCTCACGTAGCCAGCTATGTTTATACAGGAACTACCCTATGTCTCACGTCACTTGGCGATCTCTAAATAGGAAACTGTGACCGCGTGGTAAAAGCCATCTCCGCCACGCGCTCGAGCAAACGAGCTTTCTAGCCGTGATAAGTGGGTCGTTTAGCTATATACTAATTTCAACTGAAAGAACGTAAGCTGCAAAATTTTTGTTTCAGTGCTCCTTTAACGAGCACTGACATGACACAGTACACGGGCCTCTACTGTTTCGCCTCCCTCGAAATGAGACCGCGCAGCCGGAATCGAACCCACGACCTTCGGGCGAGCAGCTGAACACCATAACCAACTGGTCACCACGGCGTAAGACGGAAAGGCGAAAGTCATCTGTTTCGTGTTAGTGAATTTTATTGATTGCCTCAGCCCGACCTCCGAAAGCTTTCTGCCCCTCACGTGGTTTCGTCCTGCCTCCGAGATTGGCTCACCTTTGTCATGTGATGATGTCATCACGTGACATCACGCCATATCATGATGACGCCACAAATTTGACAATCTTTCACGTTACGACGACGTGATATGGTTAGGTCATCACTTGAGGAATTTTCGTTTACTCGTGTAGACGCCGCCACGTAAATTTTGTCTTTAAGGAGGCTTCCAAGAATTACGCCTGAATTGCTACATCATCTCGGGCAAGAATGCACCATATTAATACGAGTATATGCACAGTGTATTTACAAGGCACTACGAGACGTAGCGTTGATCTGGTCGTAGCTCTGGTCGTAGCGTTGATGCGCAACGACCAGAGCAACACCACAGGTTAAAGCCCGAGACAGCTCAACCTTCTCAGCTCACAGCATCCTTTCGTACACAGTGACACAAACACGTATCTGAAGATAACGTTACTTACGCCACCCCACCAGAGGCCTTGCTCTCGGGCCGCAGGACGAGTCCTTCCTTCCTGAGCTTGTTCAAGATGGCTTCCTGTTCGTGCCGCTCCCTGTCCTTGCCGCTCATTCGTCGAGGACACTGCTTTCCTTGCACAACCAGCTCTGTACAAACGCAACAAAAAATTATCTATCAGAAAACCTGCATCAGAAAACAGTTTCGATTGAGTTTTGGGCTTGCTGTTTTTACTGTTCTTCATCGTTTCTTATTTCCCGTTTTTAATAAAACATGCATAGCTATAACAGGTGAGGCACCTTACTTCCTGAATAGGTTAACACTCTCAGAGAACCGGCCGGTCAAAGTAATCCCTCCCGTGTAATCTCTAACAAGTGTTGATGCTAGTGCAATGATATTACTCGCTACGCTGTGGTAAAAGCTACCACCATTGAAAAGATGTGGCAAGAAAGAAGGGGGCACACTAATTCAGTCATTGCAAGAATAAAACTGGCCCCGGCCAGCACGGGATCCTCTGCCTCAATACACCGTGCCCGAGCACGTGAAATACGGCGACATCGTCGCTCTTTTATTTAATGCATAATGCATAGAACACGCAATAAAAACCAGCAGTCGCTACTACCGCTGTATTTATCGGTACTTTTATTGTTGCATTTATCAATACTAATGCCACTATGAATACCAATGTAGATATCTTACACCCGTGGCATTACTCATGCCCATGCTCATGCCAACGCTCATAGCGATGCTCTTACTCACGTTCATGATAATGTCTATGACAATGCTACGCGACGGCCAATGCCAATCCTATGCCAATGACTCAGCCAATGCCTACGACAATGTCTACGCCAATGCCTATGGCAATTCCTATGCCAATGCCAAGTCCTATGCCAATGCCAATGCCAATGCCTATGCCAATGCCAATGCCTATGCCAATGCCAATGCCAATGCCAATGCCTATGCCAGTGCCAGTGCCAGTGCCAGTGCCAATGCCAGTGCCAGTGCCAGTGCCAGTGCCAGTGCCAGTGCCTATGCCAGTGCCAGTGCCTATGCCAGTGCCAGTGCCTATGCCAGTGCCTATGCCAGTGCCAGTGCCTATGCCAGTGCCAGTGCCTATGCCAGTGCCAATGCCTATGCCAGTGCCTATGCCAATGCCAGTGCCTATGCCAATGCCAGTGCCTATGCCAATGCCAGTGCCTATGCCAATGCCAGTGCCTATGCCAATGCCAGTGCCTATGCCAATGCCAGTGCCTATGCCAATGCCAGTGCCTATGCCAATGCCAATGACTATGCCAATGACTATGCCAATGACTATGCCAATGACTATGCCAATGACTATGCCAATGACTATGCCAATGACTATGCCAATGCCAGTGCCTATGCCAGTGCCTATGCCAGTGCCTATGCCAGTGACTATGTTAGTGCCTATGTTAGTGCCTATGTTCATTCAAATACCTATGCAAATACCATTGCAAATAGGAATAAACATACCAAGGAACATAACTATGCACATAGCAGTAAATATACTGATGGAAATGGTAATACAAACAGCGACCACTTTCGACGCTCACCAATATCCACCAGAGGCTTGAACTCGAGCTCGACTGCGCGCACCTTCTCGGGTGCCGAGAACTCGGTCACCACGTCGGCGTACTCGTCGTACAGCTCGTGAACCCCCGAGTCCGGACTCTGCGTCTCGCTCGTCTGTGGCCGAGGTGTCGGAGTACGCTGCGCAGGAAAGAGACGGCTCTACGTGAAAGTGAACAACTGGGCGTGTTGGTATTCTATATTTTGTGTTTACTCATGAAGCAGTGCACGCAGAATGAGTTAGCAAAGGAACGAAAGCAGAGACAACCGATGCTCTCAACTACACTCTAAAAAAGTATCGAGTAAAAAGGGTGTCTTTTTGTCCCACGACAATAAACGTCATCAGGCATGCGTGCGCTTCCTTTCTTGAAAACTCGGCGCTGGCCACTTTCCTATCGAGAATGCAATGTAACCCTGATAATGGGCATGTCGATCGTGACCGGAATGTATACCGGGCGCGGGGCGATAGCGCAAGGATGGAACGCAATATAGATGACGATTATTGTTGTGGGACAAAAAGACACCCTTTTACTCGCTCTTTATTTAGAGTGTAGTTTATTTCGAAGAAAACATGGTTCATAGACAACATTATAGCGTACCATGTGCGACAATGACATTCAAGTTACAACACTTTCATGTGATCTTCCAAAAATGACATTTGGCAATCGCTTTAGAAGATTTTTCTTTTATTTTACTGATATGGAAGGCCGCGGTAACTTCCCTGGTCAACTGATCCTTGTGACTGGAAAGTATTTCAGTTTCCGGGAAGAGCGGCGCGCAGCCACACTCTAGGCAAGACAGTCTAATGTGAGAGTGAGCATTATTTATTAGTGGTCTCTCGGACTCAGAAGGCCTTGTGTTCTCGTACCGGCCAGTTTGACTGATGTATACGTCCTTCCACGTGACATAGAAAACAATAACCGCAGTTTTACGCTAAACAAATGGAGAAGCATGTCTAACCCCTAGTTCACACTGAAGAATCCGCTTTCTACAGCGAGCGAAATTCTCCTGCCGCCGAAACGCAGCGTTGTTCGCACTGGACGCGCCCAGCGCCGCTGAACGCAGGATGGATGCGCTGTCACCCGGTGTTTGTCGCGGCTCGTCACTGCCACATACATTATCCGGTGGTCTGGACTTCGATGATTCTCGTACGCAGAAAGCAAGAAGAAGCAGTACTGCTTACTTTCCTGGCGAATCGCTGTCTTGTAATAGTGCATGAAGAGCAGAAAAAACCACCGACGGCAGCGGCGTTGGCGGGTCCGTCTTGCTCTGCAAGACCGCGACAAGCTTGGTCTCGCCAACGACAAGCTCGGTGACCTCTCCACGAAATAAGGCCGGGAATGTAACTCACAAGAGTGGATACTTGGGCTAGTTGGTGCGTAGTCATATTTTCAAGATGTTTCAGCGCGCGAACAAAGGAAAAAGGACAGGGTAGACAGAAAGAGCGCTGACTTCCAACTAACTTTATTTCACAGAGTGGCAAGACTATATACTGCTAAAAAGGATGATAACAGAGCATGAAGGTAAAATGCACCCTAATCTACACATCAGTAACAAAACACGTGTGACAGGTCCTCTATTGCCTCAAAGCCCAGCTAGGTAATCACGTTCAGCCTGTGATAAAGCTATCGATGATGTGCTTGCACATTTATCATCCTTTTTAGCAGTATATATTCTTGCCACTCTGTGAAATAAAGTTAGTTGGAAGTCAGCGCTCTTTCTGTCTACCCTGTCCTTTTTCCTTTGTTCGCGCGCTGAAACATCTTGCAAATAAGGGACGGAAAGTAGGCACAAAGTGAGTTAAACTCTCGTTGGTTTGAACATTCAGTTACGTGCACTGCGACATGACAAGTGAGTAGGGCTTGGCCGCCAGTTTTCGAAATTCCTTGACTAGAGCTCCTATTGGTCCGCGGTGACCGATTCTGCGGTAGACGCCGTGAAAATCGGTCCGAGAGCGATCGGCACGGACAGGGCCCTTTCTGCGGATCTCGCCGCCGCCGAATCGGATTTGGCGCACTTTCGGCGGCCCGAATGCTCAGTGTGAACGTGCCTTAATGGTGCACCGAAACTGATCGTTTTTTGCCGACAGTTTCCGATGCAGCCGGATGCATATTTTTTGCATCTTGTTTAAGGCAGAAAACAAACGTTTAAGCTGTACCTTCTGCCAACATTCTTAAGATTGTGTGCTATTTAGTGTGCATTAGGTATTCATACGGATTTATTTTTATCTCCGTGCTGATTTAGGCCACTAAACATGAACTATCACCAACTAGCCCAACTTTCGACATCACTGAACTGCATGATTCAAAATAGAAGGCGCATAAAAGGCGACGGACGAACTGCCATCAATGTTTACTTCAAGAAAAAAACGGGAGCTATTTATGTTGATAATGTTGTCAAATTTCGTTGTTCCGCACTCGAACTTAAGATAGCGCTATTCTTTCTGAGATGAGGATATGGAGGCCACACTCACGCTAGGTCACGGGCTTTAATCATCTCTTTTTGCCTCGATTGTTAATCTGTTCCACTTATCTCGACTCGAAAAAAGGCTCTATCTTGCGAGTCATAACGTTCTCACTCAACCACGTAAGGTACCCACGAGATTGCTTATTTGGGCCAATTGGTACATGTTTGTTGAAAGCTTTATCATAGAACAAAAAAAAAAGCTTTTCGACGAAAAAGCGGTAACTGTAGAGCGCAAGGGGCATGCGAGCCGGAGGCAACATTTTGATGCAACACAGGCGATAAGTTTAGCGCACTAATCAAGGAACTCAATGTAGGGGGGCGAGGGTGACATTGTGATGAAGAACCGAAGTATAGAGAAGGTTCACACGCACGTGGTGGCCACTTTTTTGTTAATTTTATTTTTCATAAAATGATACGCCCATGTTGTCGCTTAACGTTCGTGCCAAAGTCACCAATTGCCTGTTCACTTCTTGTAAACTTCTTGTTTCGCCGCTACACAGCCTGAGTAGATTTCCTGGTAGCGGCAGTGAATGACACTTGTTTCTTGAGCATTGACTTCCGGGCCAATGACCAACTTCAGGTTCGCCAGAAAATTAAAATTGGTTCTGGATTCGGTATACTTAATATAAATTTAGATCTGATCCACATCCGATGCTTCTGTTTTAAGTTAAAAGTTATATTCGATACACTTAAAGTCATAGCATAGGTCTACTTAACACAAGAGCCAGTTAGCTGTCGCGAATAGCAATGAAAACTACTGAAGTGGGTTCATTGAAAGAGCAGACGCTTTTCTTGTGAACGTAAAACACAAACTTCAGTTTGCCACAAAGCTTTCTCAATATTCTTTAGTGGCAGAGCTGTTGTGGTGCCAAATCAGAGCCGTACATGCCGGATTTCACTGCCTCAGAGTAAATCGCTTCGTTTCTTCTGGGCGTTGTTCGCGAGGCCGCTTCGCTTGTCTTCTCATTGTTGCTGGCTGTTTCTGCCTCTGGCGCAACCACTGCGAGGCGGTTGCAGCAGGCCGCCGCCGCCGCGCGCTCTACCCGATCCTGGAACGATTGTACTCGGAGCTGCTGTCTGTTTTGTCCGAGGAGCTCTTCTTCCTCGGTGAAGAGGAATTTCTTCGGCACTGGTCTTGCCCTTTTGTGTCGGTCTATGACAGACGAGTGAAACTTGTCTTTCGGCTGGCCTGGTATTGATAGGCTGATCTGTCAATGCGCCGGAGAAATGGCATGCCAACATGTAAATATGCAAAATGTACATATTTATGTTTTATTTGTGTCTCTTGTTTACCTTGAAGTATTTTTTGTGGTTGTGTTTGTGTGAACCATCGAATGTACATGTTCTTTCAACGTCATCTCGTATCCATGTTCATGTAAATGACGTCTGTTTTGTCATCATCGCTAGAGTATGTCTAAGAAGGAAATGTTCAGTTGAGTGTTATTGACGTTTGTGGTAATAAATTTTTTCTGAACAAATCTGAGGGTGTGGTTCAATTCTAAGCCACTGCAGCCCCGTTTCGGCGAAACCCAAACGCAAGGAATTCTGTGTGCTACGAGTTAGGTGCACGTTAGCTAAACAGGGGAGCAAAATAAATTATTACTCATACTACGGTGGTCTTTTCCATTGATTACTGTTTTTTCTGCACGAAAATCGATAATGTAATAATTTATAAATATAATAATACTTTACTTATAGAGCATCGCAAATGCATGTGTCTAACGAATGCTATAAATAAAACCTATATATATGGTGCCATGCTTAGCGCAGTTGTACTGTCGTGGAAAAATAAAACTCGAACAAGCGATTTCACCCGACATGGTGGTCTAGTGGTCACGAAAACTCGACTGCTGACCCGAAGATTATGAGATTAAATCCCGGCCGACGCAGCCGCGTTTTCAATGGCGACGAAAATGTTGGAGGCCTGCGTACACAGATTTCTTTTTAATGCACGTTGAAGAGCCCCAGGTGGTTGAAATTTCCGGAGCCCTCGACTGTGATATCCCTCATGGACATATCCTGGTTCTGGAACGTCAAACTACGAGACATTCATGCGAACACCAAGCGTACTGGCGGAAACAAAAAAAAAGGAACAACTCCATATCGCTGACACTGGCTTGTTGAAGCTTCGATTGTGCTTGAGTGTACATGCGCAGTTAATCAACGCAGTGAAATCTAACACAGCGCGAAGACAATTACTTCGCGGGTAAAAAAAAAAAGCAACGACTGACAAGTAGGAAACCCTTGTCCGCGACGGGCATGCCTAACTCAAAAGAAGGTTGAGCTTCGGCTCAAGAGTAGAACGTCACAGCGTAATCGGGCTCCGTTCGCACTACCTTCTCGATCGGTAACCGCGCAACGCTTCTAGGCAAGCGCCTCAATCTTGTCGCAAGGACAGAAAAGTCTGAACGAATAACATTCATCGTCTAAAG